AAATTAAGCAGCAATTAGAAGTGTCCATGAAAAATATCTAGAAGAGTAGCACCATACCAATTAAAAATACACAATGAAAATACAGGCATTTGGTCTTTTAAAATGTAGACTATTATTAGATGGGCACTGTGTTTCCTTTAAATGATGCTAAACGATGCCAAACTGGCAGGCCAGATAACTGTTTTTGCCTTCAGTTCAGGAGAAACAAACTGAAGGTTTAGCTATTTGGTGAGAGAGAGAGCATGATGTAATATGCAAGGACGGGCAAGTTGGTAGGCCAAAAAAAAAGGGGGGGGTTGCCCTCAGTTCTAGAAAAATTAACTGGAGATATTACCACTGCTAAAGCAGAACATGAGGAAATTTGGGGGGTGAAATAAGACAGGTGTCCCTAGTCTACCTACACTCGTACCAATAGGTGCCACAGGAAGGGTAGGCTGGGTTAGCACCCTGAAGGTGCTTTAATGCTATAGCTCACAGACAAGGTATTTCAGTGCCCATGCAGGATGCTGTCCTCAGGTCGTAGATGTGCACTTGTATGATTTTGCACATCCACCACCAGACTGGAAATGTGATATCTGTGTTCCATGGAGTCTCTGCAATAAAAGCTACTCTCCTTTTCACCTTGCTACGTTTCCCCTAAACAAGAGTTAAAAGAGAGAGGGAGAGAATGCTGCCTCTGCATATTTCAACATCTTTAGTTGGTACTTTCATGTACTAGAACGTTTTACAGCTATTTTTCTTACTCATATTGACAAAAATAGAAGAGACTTTAGGAGCTTAGACACAGACTAAAACACTGCATGCCGTGCTGAGAGTTTGTTTTTCGGGGTTTTGTTTTGTTTTGGGGGTTTTTTTTGTCTCTTGATATGGGTTGCTGGGTTGTGGCCAAGGCTTTAAGTACTTTTATCAAAGTCAAACTGCATATAGAGAGTTTTTTCAGCTCAAGTTGCTTTTAGAGTCACTTGTTGTTTTATTATCACTTTAAAAATGAATCTCTACAGAGGCTTTTGGACTGATAGCAGCAGCACAGGCATTCTTCAGTCTTGTGAGACCATGGTAACATGCTCTGTATCAAGGAGTGTCCTCTCCAGAACATGAAGCCTGGGTAAAGTAATATGGAGGATAGGCTGTTACCCAAGCAGCAGATCCCCCCTCTCCACGTTGCTGAAATGGTCCAATGGAAAGGCAAGAGCCAATACAACTGGTTCCAGCAACATCACGGGAGTTGACAGAATGACACGAACTGCCTTTGGGACTCCAGCTCTGGATTTTGCCTCTAGGTTAACTCCAGAAGCCTTTTCCATGAGTGGATATAGCCACAAGGCAGTGGAGGTTCGAAATTGGAGTTTTCCTTCTCCTAGATGGGCTGCCTTCCATGGCTGATGAGCCCCACCTACTCGGCCTGCTCTTTAATAGTGCAGAAGTATGATCCGACCCTTAAAACTTTCCTGCCTCCCAGATGAATGCAATTCTAATTGGCTTTCCTATTTACCATATGAGGGTCAGAGATAGAATCAGAGAATTTCATAGCTTCCCCCTAGGCCCCACCCCCTAGGCCATGCGGTGGGGGAGACCAAAACAAAGCCCAGCCAAAAACAAACAAACAAAACTCCTCAGCAAAATGTCCATGCAGACATACCTGGCCTTCAGCCTCAGCCCAGCTTCCCAAGAAAAAGGGCCCAGGGTCCTGGGACACCCTCATTTAAAGCAGAAAGCCCCACCCCCTAAGCCATGCGGTGGGGGAGACCAAAAGAAAGCCCAGCCAAACAACAACAACAAAAAAACTCCTCAGCAAAATGTCCATGCAGACATACCTGGCCTTCAGCTTCAGCCCAGCTTCCCAGGGAAAAGGGCCCAGGGTCCCGGGACACCCTCATTTAAAGCAGAAAGCCCCACCCCCTAGGCTCCACCCCCTAGGCCATGCAGTGGGGGAGGCCCAGATCCTGGTCCCTTTTCCCTGGGAAGCTGGGCTGAGGCTGAAGGCCAGTTATGTCTGCATGGCCATTTTGCTGATGAGTTGTGTTTTTTTTGGCTGGGCTTTCTTTTGGTCTCCCGCACCGCATGGCCTAGGTGGTGGGCCTAGGGGTGGGGCTTTCTGCTTTAAATGAGGGTGTCCCAGGATCCTGGGCCCTTTTCCCTAGGAAGCTGGGCTGAGGCTGAAGGCCAGGTATGTCTGCATGGACTGATAGCAGTACCCGCACAACATTACAGCTGGGTTGCTCTCCCCTGAGCCCATGCAGATGATCAAAGTAATTTGGATGTTTTCTTACCTTGCAGTGAGCTTGATTATCTGTACTATCCTATGAGATTACAACATCTGGTTCAGATGTATATAGAGAAACAAACACCTTTATGGGTTTCTGGTAAGCACCTACATTGTACAACAGAAAGGAAATGAACTCCAACAGAATTCACAGAGGATTCATCATCTACTAGATTGGCTCTAACATATGTAATCTCACAGCTTGTCCACACAGTGATGGTGCTATCAGTCATTCTGGGAATGCTTTAGCTCATTCTGGATCCCCCCCCCAGAATATTTGTTGCTGAGTGTACTGTTCACACACATCTGGATTTCCTTCCTGATATCTCCATCCCAACGCTGATCACTCCTCCCCCTTTGTGTACCTTCTTTGCCACCATACAACCCACCTCCACTCTTCCTCCCTCCCTTGTTTTGCATAGCCACCATTTTCAAACTTTCATGTTTTTACATATCAGTCTTTTTCATACAGTTTCCTGTATGAATAACTTGAAACACCAAGAAAACTAACTAGGAATGGCAATAAGATGTGGAGGGATGGAGAGTCACCAACAGAACCACACCCCTAAAGAAATTTCATCAAATGACACACAACACAAGGTGTGTGGATCAGCATGCAACAAGGGAATAGTGGAATCCATGTGAACAGGCCCTGCACTGAAGCAAAGCAGGACAGAAATACATCACCATTCAGTAGTCCTGTAAAAACAACAACACTCTAAAAGCAAAGGGGTTGTCCCATTTTGATCCTGTCAACACTAGTTTTAGCTATCTATCATGTGGACACAGGGATGCAGTGCTAGTACCATGGGCTCAAGGAAAATTGAGCAAATGCTCAGTGTGAATGGGCTCTCACTCACACACACATTTCATAGGAGTGAATCAATTGCTGGTTCAGCCAAGTGAGTTGCCAGCGAATCTAACAGTGCCACGTGCAACCAGCCCTTTTCACAAGCCATTTCCTTCACAAATGTCTGTGACTTCTTCTGAGGGAATCACTCCTGATATCCCTAGCAGACCATCTGCCCTCCCCCCACAAAGGGCCCAAAGGAAACATGGATTAAAAGTACAGTATGTATCTGCAGAACCCTTAGACAGAGGTCTAGGAGGAGTACCCCCTCTTCAGCATGTCAGTGACACCAACCACAACATCTATGCCATGGAGACCTCAGTGTCTGGCAGGGCACCCAGCCCTCCACCCCTACTCAACAAAGGCCCTGGAAGTGCAAGCACCAAAAAGAGTACCAGAGATGACACTAGGGGAGGCTGGTGACCTCATCCTGCTGGTGAGCATCGAGCAATATAAACCCTCTGAAGGTTGGAGGGTGGTTCAGGGCTGTGCTGAAGACCCAACACCAACAACAGATTTTGGACAGTGACAGAAACTCAGACCTGTGTATAGACCAGGCTTGACAGGGGGCTAGAAGAGCTAACTTGGTTCCCAATGGACTGATGGAACAAAGTACAACTGTCACTCTTCCTTTTCTTGTACTTGGTTCCCCTACTTTAATAAAGGAATTTTCTAGCAGCTCCAGGATTTTGAAATTGATGGAGACCATGAATGAGGAGGGACTCCCCATCGCACCCACCTTGGATTGGGGTAACAGTGCTTACACTCACTCCTCATGGGTCCTTTGCTCTTATTAGATACATGTACCAATCAAAGTAGTGCTCCCCCTATTTTGATTAATACATGTTTCTAAGAAATCCTCTTTCATTTTTAAAATAAAATGGTTTGGGGGGGTCCTTTTTGAAGAAAAAATGCAAGCCACACATACTGATATAACTATTGATGACTGGCAGTAAGGACATGGCATGACATGCAAGTTTTGTATATGAACTTCAGATGAGAATTCCACCCCAGGAGTGGTAATTCTGGAAATACTGTTCAGACCACTCCTTTGAAGTAACTGACTGTTGCCTAGCTAGATACTCCAACAAACCTACTGTGACTTCTTCTTGTGATGATATTTGCACGTACTGCTTCAAATTCTCATATGCAAGCTTAATGCAAAAATGTCCTCGTTTGTGAGGGACAAGATCCTTGTCCTCCATATCCTACTTTCTGGTGATATCTGTCCTTCTTTTTGGCTACGGAGCAGTAGCCAACCTTATACAGAGGTCCTTCAAAGCAAGTCATTCAGAAACTTGCAGTTTCTTGTTCTCGTATTTCTTTAAAGATCGGAATTTAATCTCTGTGCTAAGTACTGTATTTTTGTCCTTGTTTGTAGTGGTTGCCTGTACAGTATTTGTGATCCACATTGTATTTCATAATGTTCAGATGGTTACATATTTTATTCATTTTTAATGCACTGCCACCTTTTAATGGGTAATCATAATCCCATCATAGAATTATTATTTTTTAAGTTTCATACAATACCTAGAGAACTTGTTTATCAGGCGTTTATGAGGCTTTATTTCTATTAAATTATTACCTTCCGTTGGAGTATGGAGAAATAGTCACTTGAAGTTCAGTAGTGTGGCAGAGGTCATTTTCAGCATTGTTATCGAAGCCTACTCACAGAGGTACATATTTTCTGTGCACAAAAGAGCCCAGAAAACAGACAACACACTCATATTTTGTTTGTAAGGGATAGTAATCTTATAAACATTAGTTTACTCCATGACTTGACAGTGAGGAGCCTATAAAAGATGCAGTGGGATATGGTCCTTCTTTGCACATGTCACAAACACTCAAGTAGGAAATTATTCTCTTTCTAGATAGGAAACTTCCTACCTCTTGTTTGTTCCTTAGGAGCCCACAATAACTTCACAATAACTTCACCACTTATTCATGTGGCTCTGGGTGGTTCTGTTATTCATCAGTTTAATCAGGACCAGTCTGATAATAAAATGAGGTAAGAAAAACATAACCTATTTGACTCCCATTTGAAAGTAGTACTATTAAACTAGATTCCTAAAATAAATCCGATTATAATTTTATCCACCCCTTTCTGTTCTTAGGGTCAAACTAGATATTAAAGTGAATGCATATTGCTGTGATTAACCCATTTAACTCCTTCAACAGAACCTCCTTAGAGATGTGGTGTCCATAACTGGTTACAATACTCAAGGTGAGGCCTAACCAGTGCTGAATAGAGGGGAACTAATACCTTGTGGAATTTGGAAACTATACTTCTGTTAATGCAGCCTAAAACAGAAGTTGTCTTTTTTGTAGCCACATCACACTGTTGGCTCATATTTCGCTTGTGATCTACGACAATTCCAAGATCCTTCTTGCTTGTAGTATTGCTGAGCCAGGTATCTCCCATCCAATTCTTAAGCTTAGCCATTAATACTGAACAAGCCCTGGTGTCTTAGCATGTCTGGCTTCTCTGAGGATCCCTGAGCTGTATAAAATGAGTAGTATCAATTATTGCTGGACAAGGGCTGACGTTGAATTGATTGAGCTTTTATCAGGTGCAGTACCTGAGAGTTCACCTACACTGCACAGTTACATTCATTTGATATCACTCTGAAGAATCTTGAGATCTGTAGTTGGATGTGTTACTTGAAGTTCTCTGCTAAAGAGCCCTACCATACCAAATTCTAAGTTCCTCACCAAGTGACAGGACCCAGGAAGTCTAGGTGGAACCTTGATAGTTGAAATGGATTGGAACTCCTATATGTAGTTTAGAATTTCCATTTCAGAGCTTAAGTGAACTCAATACCTAGAACCAGAACCCCACAGGGCAGCATTCGTCAAGAGTATTTTCACTGAACCAACAGAGGGCCTACTTTTCAGACAAGAGAGGAAAACTGTCAATAGCTGTTCTTAATCTGTATGCTGGAGATTTGTTGCAAAGTGAAGATCATTAACAACATGAATTGCCCTTGAGTAACTGATAAGTACAAAATGAGGGTTTCCCCACTCCCCATAATTTGTTTCTTTGCCTGCACTTTGGAACTAATTTCTCTCATTACCTAAGAGTCTTAGACACAGAGTCAGGTTTGAGTGGTTGTATTAGAAGCAGACAGAAGAAGACTGTATTAACAATACATGATATCCTTCTTATTAGTAGTACAATGCAAGAAAGACAATGTTCCAACAATGTATGACTCATTTAACAAGAACATCTCAAAATTTATAGGTGACATCCTAATAATGAAATTATCTGGCTATTTATTTATTTGACTCAAGACCCAAAGCAGCAGAAAAGCTTTCTGCCACAGAACTTCCATGTTCTCTTCCTTCCTTTATCTGAAGCAAATACAGGCTAGATGTAACACACAAGGCTGTATTTATATCAATACTTACATGTATATATAAATATTATATACTTATATGCTTATATATAAGTATATAAGCTATACTTATAAGCATAGCTTACTTTTTAACTGATAAAATCACTACTTCCTAGGTTTTTCTTTTTAATAAAATAGCACATATGATTGTGATAATCATTTTAACAATACTGAATAGAATATGACTCTCTTTTTTATTTAACCCCTTAAATACAGAGATGTAAAGTGTACTTGCTGGTTACCAACATTCATTGTGACCTGCCTGCCAGTCTGGAGACTCCCCCACCTTAAAAACAGTTCTAGAGTCTCTGGGTGAAGACAAGTTATATTCAGATAGTACATTACTGTACTGCTTTTAGTGGGCTACTTACAGTCCACTATCCTTTAGTTGTGGTGACATAATTAGGAATGTAGCTAATGATTCTTAACAACTTTATCAACATGGAGATTCTTTTACATCCTTGGAAATGCTCCTTACCTGACCTGCTATTTGTGTCCTTTTAAACCACTTAGAAAGGTTTTTCCCTTCGTCCTCTCTTTGCAAGGAGTTGGAGGGCCTTTTTCACTAAATATGGTAGTAAAGCTGCCACCAGCCCTACTTTTTCCTTTACTTTCCCTTTCTTCTTCATTCATCAGACTGGAGAGGTACATCTATTATGAGGAATATGTTTCCCTGCCTCTGATCAGGACGTTCAGTAAACAAGAACCCAATCCCTTGAAGGCCTGATGCCCTAAAGGCTCAAGGCAGGCTAGATTTTCATCTATAAAAAAAGTAAGCTCCATTATGAAGAAAAAAAAAGGGGGGGGGGAGAATGCAGCAAGCTGCTTTTAAAAAGGATAATGCTGAAGCAGAATCACAGCACAGAACTTCTTCCTTAGGTTTGACCTATTTTTTTAAAAAGTGCAAGCGTTTGTGAATAGCCACTGTAACAATGACACAAAACAAACATCCTTCAAACATCTAGCTACATGGTCCCGATATTACTTCGAACCATGAGAATTTCCTGCCCTTGTTCTAACAGGGATGCAGCTATCTGCAGGTCTCAATTTCTTGCTCAAAGAAAGAAAGAGAAAGGAACTTTTCCACTGATTGTTTAAAGATCCCTGAATAACCCAGACTGAGTAATACTTGTGTGTCGTCAGCAACATCTTTGCTGACATCATTAACTACTTCTCTCCTGACATTAACCCTTTCCTGGAATACTGCCAGCTTAAGTGCCTTTTGTTGTGATGCTACACCATGGCATAGATGAATCTGTTCTCATAACATTATCCTTTTCTTTATACCCATGTAACGTCACCAGCCCCAAGAACACTTCAGGGAGCTCAGAATATAGTACCATTCATTTCCATGACAAAAATAAGAATTATATTCCAGTGGAGAGCTACAGGACAGAGGATTGCTCAAATTACCTCCGGAAACAGAATACAAGATCCCATTAAGTGTGATTTTCCAGTGTAAATTCTGAATAGAGACAGTTTGATTCATTCTAGAAACCTTACAATGGGAAGATTCCCTATCTTCTTTAGATCTAAAGGAAGCACATCTACACATACCTATTCAGCCAGGTCATCAACAGTATCTCACATTTGCTTGCCAAAGCAGGCACTATCAGTACAAGGCTATTCCATTTAGCCTCTCCATCTCCTCAAGAGTTTTGCAAGGTTCCTAGTTACACTAGTTGCTCACCTGACAATACAAAGTATGCATATTTATCTGTACCTAGATGACCTTTTGATCCATTTAGAAGCAATGACACAAGAGAGGAGAGATGTACAACTCACAATAAATTCTCAGAGACATATGATTTTCTGATCAGTCATGGGAAGAGCCACCTATCTCAAATACCTTACTATTCTTACAGAAACAATCCAGGGAGATATTTTTCTTCATGGTGACAGATTAGAGAAGATGAAGTCAATAATCCACCAAATACTAGAAGTTTCAAGGGCTACCTTATGCTTCCCTCTCAACTCCTGGACATGATGATTTCCTCTAGAGACTGTAGTCTGGGGGCAAGATTCTCTGCCAGACCCATTCAATGGTTTCTCCTTCCTCACCAGAAAGATATAGGGGAACAGAAATATATTTCTGTTTGCATCCCACAAGAAGTCGAGACATTGCTTTAGTAGTGGTTTCATGTGGAAATCTACAAGGGCAAGCTGTCCCTGGTGTCCCACAGGATCCAGATTACAACAGACGCAAGTCTTTGAGACTGCAGGGCTCACCTGCTGTCTTTCCTGTCACAGGGAAGGTACTCAGAAGATGAAGCATTCCACAGCATAACCTAGTTGCAACTGAGGATAGTAAAAGTACCAATGGAAGCCTTTGAGGATCGGATTCTAGGCATGCCAAACATTACTGTCAGAGCTCACCTATATCATTGGGGGAATGCTCCTGATAAGGTAGATGAAACTATTTTTCCTACAGGAAGGTGTAATAAAGGGTTCAGACCTAATATTTCAAAAATGTGTCTGCTTCCTCTGTTCTTCCAGGAAGAGGTAACAGACCATTAGGGACCATTAGGTTCTTACCCAGACGTTAAACGATTCCTCAAGGGGATTTCTCTTTCACACACACCCTGCCATTCACAGACAGCCCACAAGGGGCTTACACATTGCTCCAAAAGTCTTAACCAAACTTAACTTTGAAAACTCTTTCACATCTGCACAGAGGATTTCAGAATCAATATCATTGTCTGTTCATGCAAAGACAATGGCCCAGTCAAACTCTATCTTGATTCTATGTTTGTTCCAAAATTCAGTTCTGCCAAAATTCAATTCTGCCTTTCACAAGAGTCAGGAGATGGTTTCTCTTTCTTTTTGCTCAAGTTCCTCGACACCTCTGTACCAAAACATTGGTACAAACTAGATGTGAGGAGGGCCCTCAATATTTGCATTAGCTGATCCAGACTCTTCAAGCAATGAGACTCTGGGTTTGTATCTTTTCAACCATCCACTTTGGGCAAAAGGGTATCCAAATGTATGCTTCCCATATGGCTGAAAGCATGCATGTGTTATGCTATCAGAGTTCTGGTTCTAGGTAACCAGCAGGTGTCACTACTTTTTCTATCAGGAGTGTGGCCATATCAGCTACTTTCAGCACAAGTGAGCCATTGTACAACAGCCCCATGGAGGGTATATATGTGAAACATTATACAGTAGACTGCATCAGAAGCATCTTCTGATGCAAGAGTCTTACAATAGAAGTTGCATTATCTAATTCTGAGAAAGTCAGGTTTTAAGGAAGCAGGTGTCAGCTTTTTCTTTTTTTCATCCTAGGATTTAAACTTTGTTAAGTCTCATCTGCTTAGATTTCCTCCTCCACTCCATAAAAAAACTCATCAGGACATATCCATTTTATGTGGCAGAAGGAGAGGGAGTTTTCTTAGTTATTGAAGCCTCTAGCTACTCGTCTTTTTTATGTCTTTTTTATCTCTTTTATTTTCGCTAAAAAAATTTGTTTTCTTGATGGCTACTAACAAAACCTGGTTGAGCCAGGATTCTCTTTGCTCTCTGGGAGAGCTCTGCCATTGTCTGATTGGTTAATCAACTCTGCCAATCAAAGCAAGTAGGAGGGGCAATGCATTTAGGATG